GGAGGAGCATATGGAGCTCCGTTCCGCTCTAAGAGCCGATCTTTTGCTAGCAGAGGGACCACGGTTTGCTCATTTTTCTCAGATGCGTTGCGGTTCTGTAAACCCGCACCATAGATGCGTTTGTATCATAGTGCCAAGTCTACTGCTTAGCATTGCTGCTGAAAACAGTGCGCATAGCTTGACGGATTTGATTTGTTTTGGTAGGCTGAGCCCGTAAACACAGGTTATCAGCCGTCGCCTCTAACACGCAATGGCTACTTCTGATGAGGTCCAATCCGTAACAGTGCGCCGCGCAAGGGCAACCTCGTGCCCGCTGATGTAGTCATGGTTCAGACAGACGGTGTGACAGTATAACAGCCTGCAACATATTCAATCTGGGAATGAAGAAGCTGTACGTCGTGAAGCGCAACAAAGACACCGAGAAGGTATAGAGCACTGTGACTGCGCGCATGAGATCGGTGACAAGCATATGGGTGGAACGTGGCTAGTTGAAAGCCAGGCGACAATCGCTCAAGCTGACAGTTTTCACCAACAGAAGATGACGGGGCAGAAAGGGGAAGCCGAGAAACTCCACAGCCAGATGACTAGGAAACAATACGATGACCTCCAGACTCAGCTTGAGGCACTGTTGAAGAAGCTTCATCAAAAGCGATGCTCATAAGACTGCGTTGGGAGGGAGGCCGATTTGCACGAGGCTTTAGCAAAATGTTGCGGGATTGCATTCAGGTAAAGAGTCGCAGAGGGTGGACGAGCTTGACCGCCAGCACTACAGGTGAATGCGCCTGCGGAACTCGTCAGCCCGATGCGAGTGAGTCGATCTTGGGCAAGCTATGGCGCCCCACTCAACACTGCGGCAAGCAAAGACAAGGAGAGGGAAGATTCCTCTCTGCCGGCGACGGCGCGACCAAGGGAGTTCACCGCATCGAAATCTGGCCCGCAAGAAAGATGACGAAAGCACGCCGCGCCAAGGAAGCTGACTTGATAGGAACCCCTGAGATGGCATGGCGCCCCAGCCCGTGAAACCTAATCGTCCGTGGAATAATTGGGTAAGGGAGTTGGTCCGGTCATCGTCCGGTAAGCCAAATGAAGGCTGCCAATGGATCTTGGAAGTTTGGGACCCATTGATCAGCCGCACGGCGCTTGAGGCGAAGCTCCATAACCCATGTGCAGGCAACTTCGCGACGCTCGACGCGATTCTCACCATTGCTCTCATAAAGTCAGCCTGCAGAGACCTTGGACTTAGGATTTTGAATCGCAAAGAGGAGCAAACCCAGTATGCGCTCCCAAGGACGATGTTGATATTGATATTGATATTGATCGAGCAAAAGAAGGCGAGTCATAGAAAGCCTACTCGCTCTTTGCGAAAGCAATCCGCATTTCGCATTTGATTGAGGCGGAAGGAGCTCAGCGGCTCAGTCTCAGAGGAACTTCAGGTCCCATCATCAACAAGAAGCAACCCAAACCAAACGTCAGGCACCGTGGCAGGCCTCCCAGCCGCCTCCCCAGGCGTCGCGCGAGCGCGCTTGACAAAAAGAAGAATACGAAGGGAGATCTCCCTGTAGGCAACGGACGCTACGGGGAGAGGGCCCAAAATCCGAAGAAGATGGCCAAAACCTCACGCGCCTATTTATGGCCGTTGTGGCGGCGATTGCCTATCTCCATGAGAAGAAAGGTGCAGCTGTGCCAAAGGAGACCGCAAGGCTAAACAAACCGGACTGAAAAGCCTCACCCCTGTAAGTGAGTGCTACAGGAAACTTTGCGAGGCTCACGCGCTCAGCGCGCCACCTATCCTTGCCTCGCGCGCTGCGTCAGGCCAATAGCGTTGGCTCATTGGCTCAGGAAGCGAGCAGGACCTGGTTAGCGAGCCGAGGTGGGACTGCACAATCGGCGTTGCGCGGAATATTCATTTTCAGCCTCACGCAATCGAAGTTGCAGACATTGACCTTAAAACTTCACCAAAACCAATCACGCCGTGTGTGCTGGAGAAAGCTTCATCCGTATTACCTGTTGGTATTAGATGCGTCGCTCAATGATACCGTTTTGTTGCTGTGAGCTTGCCCTGTTTTCTGCGCAAAGTCGTTAAAAGCCGGCGTTTCCAAGCGAGTCAGGAACTGGAAGAAGGAGTCGATCCCGACTGACGCCGAATGACGAAGAAACAGTGGCCGTGAAAAGTCGCGACATGGCCAACCGACCTCATCATCGAAGCCCAATCGTTCATGCGCTTTCGAAAAGAGGACACTTCAGAGACCTCATAGAGGTGCAAAGGCAGTCAAGCGCGCGTCAAAACTGCACGCTTTGGACCATACCAACCCCGACTATTGACTGAAGCGAACGTCGAAGAGGGGTGAAAAGATGGCGCTTGTCATAAAGACCTACAGTCAGTTGCGATTTGTCGAGGACTGTTCTCAGGTGGTCAACCACTTTGTCAATCACCACGATGAAGTTGAAGTCATTTACGCTGATAACAATCAAGGATCTAGGTTGTAGACTGTAGACGTCAGACGCCCATCAAGTTTGTAGAACGCGAAGCCAGACAGATTTGAGGGAGCCACATGAGGAATGCCGCCCAACATCTTGCCATTAATGATGCAACGTTTCGCTGTACTGCCGTCAATGTCCGTCCCAGCTGGACAGAAGTTTCGCCAGTATCTCAATTCCACTCGGGGCTGTTTTGAAGCGCCAACTTCTCGCGAAGGGGAGGTTTGGGATATCGCATTCAGCCAGGCTTCGTGAATATTTTATCATGAAATTGATCGCGCAGTTGGAAGCGTTAGACTACCGCCTCCAGCGTGGCAGCGTCAAGGTTCAACGCGCCAGGCGATTGGGGCGGAGCTACTAGGAGTGACGTGTGTTCCCGCCCGAGGCAAAAGCCAGCAGCTTGTAACTAAAACCTGCTGGGAGGTGACGTATTGTCATGAGTTGATTCGTTAGCTTCACTGCTTTTGCCGCCGGTGTATGCTGGCTAAAGGAGGGAGTCTTGAAAAGACATTGTGCCAAACATGCCTTTGTACCACAATAGTGCCAACGCTACCGCTTACCATACATGCACCACTTACCACAGCGTTGCCGCTGAAAACAGTGCGCGTAGCTTATAACGGATTAGACTTGTTTTAGTAATAGTCGGCTGAGCCTGTACACGCACTCTGCGCAAGTGGACTGTTTTTGAACAATTGCAGGCTTGAAGGCCCAGAACATGTTTGTTGTTTGCGCATCCAGGCCTCCAAGCGATCCATATGGTGCGCCCTCATCTCAGGGGTGCTGTGTCCAGTTCAGGAGCCCTCCTTGATGCACGTCGTGAAGTTGCGGGGTAGCAGTGTTGCTGAGAAAACAAGTCACCTTGGGCCAACGGCGCGTGTCTATGCCGACAAGACCCTCTGTACAAACGCAGCAAAGGCCTAGCTATCCTGGAGGAGCATATGGAGCTCCGTTCCGCTCTAAGAACCGATCTTTTGCCACAAGGTGGACCGCCGTTGCTAACATTTTTAATATTTTTGGCTGTTCTCCAGAAGCGTCCTTTGTTGAATGTTTGCAATGTTGAAAGCCCAGAACATGTTCTTCGTTTGTCCTTCCAGGCCTCCAAGCGATCCATACGGTGCGTCCAGGTGCCCTGCTTAGTGCGTGTGACGATGTTGAGGAAGCAATGTTGCTGAGATAAGACAAATAATGCTGGGCAAGCTTTTGTTTGTCCCGTGTTTTTGTCCACACGCCATTCTTAAGCTTGGTCACATTACACACAAGAGTGTCCGACAAGAGTGTTCTGCAAGAGTGCCCCCACAAGAGTACCGACAAGAGTGTCCTGCAAGAGTGCCCTACAAGAGTGTCCCACAAGAGCGTCCGACAAGAGTGTCCTACGAGAGTGTCCCACAAGAGTGACATACAAGAGTGTCGCCGAAGAGTGTTTCGCAAGAGTGTCCCACAAGAGTGAGTGTCATACAAGAGTGTCCCACAAGAGTGATAGTGTCCTACAAAATTAGCCCGCAAGAGTATCGCATAGAAGTGTCCTACAAGAGTGTTTCACAACAGTGTCCCGCAAGAATGTCCGACAAGGTGCCCAACAAGAGTGTCCAACAAGAGTGTCCCACAAGAGTGTTCCACGAAAGTGTCCTACAAGAGTGTCCACAAGAGTGTCCTACAAGACTGTCCCACGAGAGTGTCCTACAAGAGTGCCCAACAAGAGCGTCCTACAGGAGAGTGTCAAAAGTTGGTTGTGCGTTTGTTTTTGAGTACGTGTTTGCATTCGGGTTGGTGGGTTCCATCTTGTTTTCTTTATCCGCGGGGGTAGGTTCATAAGTACTTAAGCAAGTATGTAGGTATATAATAGTTAAAACGATTAAGTAGCTACAGAACTAACAAGCCTGGGGGAACTTAACTCCAATGAATGACCCTTGGAATCTTGGAATCCACTCGATCTCACTGACATTTCCGTGAACGTTCGAGGTACCTACCTTACTGATCCGAGGCAGGCATCCAAGCTGACCAGTTTCAGAATAGCTGACCAGTTCGGCTTGGAGTCGCAGTCTAGCAGCCTAGCATGTATATGTATATGTATACACACCATATCTAGCAAAGCCGATATGCTAGAAACCGCGAAGACAAACGTGTTAAACGAGTTACACTGAATGCAATGACAAGCAGATTGAGCAATGCAAGACGCAAGCCATGGGTGCAAGTCTGATTGGCGATTGCAGCGGAATGCAGCGGCAAAGAAAGGGAGGTGCAGAACAATCTGTCAGTTGTTCCCGTAACTTTTCTATTTGCACAGCATTCTCTTTGGTCCGAAGATGTAAAGGGCTCAAAATGCAGATGAAATGGAAGATCGATTCGAGTAAACCATTCATCGGCACAGAATCCCATGTTTTCTCTGATGCAACCCGTGGGCATCACTCAGTTGGTTGAATGTTTTCATGAAAAAAACACAGGCAATTCCATCCATTAAGGAGCACTTCGTATTTGCTGTTCAGCGTCAATCCCGCGTAAAAGACAGAACAGTAAGTTTGGCCTTTAGGCAAAGTTGTTGCTGAAGGGCTTTCGAGCTTTGCCCTTTGTGGGATGCCATGCTGAAGGTATTGGTTGTCGCGACTTTCGTGAGGGCATGGACATTCAATGCCAGCTACACCCAGTTTCATGGCACAGGATGTTCTGAAGGGGAACGCGAGTTCAAATGCCAAGAACAAGATGACTTGATTTGCTGTCAGCACTCTTCGCAGACAGTTGGTTGGCGCTGCCAAGGGGCATACCTTGACCGCGTGCTATTCAATTCTGGAGAAGACTGCAGTGGCCAAGCAATCGAGGAGGTTGTTGGTTACCTCAGCTTGACCGCAGATATAGCTCGGATAAGTGCTGGAGAGTGTGTTGACTATGGCACCACGATGTCGTTTCGTTTTACGGACGTACCAACCACAGCAGTGCCATGTGGTGTAATGGCAGCCGCCAAGCCCAGAGTGCTTTGCATGGGACTTCTTGTGCTAATGACAATGTGCCGGATACTGATGGCTTGAGTGACCTAGTGATTCCTTTGAGGGTCTTGATGTTCGTTGGTAGTGAGACACTTGCCTTGACACTTCTGTTGGCTTTGATCTTGAGTTGAAGAATAGTGATCGGGTGGGGAGGTAGTGTTGTGGCCACATGCTGAAGTGCTTGGCTGAAGATCAAAAGCCTTGTTACATTGTAGGTCGCATGCTCATCCAGATTGCTCAAGAGGTGCAAACCTGCAGATGAGCCGTAAATTTGCAACTCCCCAAGGGAGCTGTATGAAAAAGGAGGTCTATCTTTGCTCCCGTTCTGATGGAAAGGCAATAAATGAACTTGGATCTAGCAACTCTTGCTTCCATATTCTGCTGTCGGAATTTGGCTCCAGCACGGGCCCAGTGCTCCGCCATGGTTATGAAAAGGACTGAATAATTCAAAGTTCCATGCCACGAACATGCACTGAGGGCCGAAGATAAGTTCACCAATTCTCGCGAGGAAGCGAGCAGTTGCCAAGGCACGCATTGTACTGGTTTTACTAAGAAGGTTTGCTCTCAAAGATGAGTTTGCAGACATTCTGGGTGACGCATGCTGGTGACAGTAGGCAATCCGTCTAAGATGATCTACACAGAGGATTTATCATGATGTCCTACCCAATGAGATTGTTCCTGGTAGCGCACCTGTTGGTCACACTTCCCTGTTTGGATTTCGGGCTCAAGACGCTCGGGCTGCTCCTGACTTGCAGCGTAGCTTGGGAGCAAATTGGCTGGATATTCTTTTTTTTGTAGTGTCTTTTTCCTTTTGACTTTCAGTGTTTGGATGATGCTTCTGATTCACCCTTCGAGACAGACAGAAAGGCCCATACCGCTGACTTACGATCGCTCCAACTATCATATCGCTCCGGTTGGTCTGCAACCTTCCCCGCATCTTGGCAACAGGGACGGCTTCACCTGCAACATGTCGCGTCAGATCAAACACTTTCAGAAAGCAACTTTGACAGGTGACATGTTTGAAGGTATTGATGCTGAGTGACTTAGCGTTTTGGTGAAGTTTAGTGAAGGGGTGAAGGTAAAATTAATCACCCGACTCACCCTGTGCGTCCCGTCCCATGCCGCCCTTCCCGTCCTTCATGACGCCTCTTCGTGACTGAGTGAGGCTCGCTGCGGACCACCAACTTTCCCCTGAAACGCTCGGAGCTGCGGCTCCAGGAGCGAAGTGTGTTCCAAGCAAAAAAAAGGAGAACATATATTAAAAAAAACACGGATTGCTGTCTGCAAAAGGAATCAATGACGACTGTCGTGAGGACCTTCCATTTCATTCGGGAGACCCTTGGAGGACATTTAGAGTGACCTACATGATGATGAAGTTGCAGCATTGGTCTAAGGAAACCCCTCCCTCAGCGAAGCCATGGCCGACTTCATGGAACAGGCTGCGTTCTCGTCTTGTCCAAGCAAGCTGCTGGGTTGATCGCATGGCTTGGGAAGCATAGAGAAAAAATCCAAACATTCATTTATGTTGCTGTACCGCTGCGAAAGGCCAAGGGCAGATGAAAAGACATCCGAATTCAAAACAGTTTTGGATTGATAATATCCATCTATTGCTGAAGTCAACAAGTCAACACTATATTCATCACGCAGTGCCTCAAGCTAAGATGGACTTAGTTTGATCTCCACAAGGCAAAACATGCAGCAAATGTGATTACACGGAACAACATGTCTTGCATCGCTAAGCATTTTGAAGCAGCAAAACGGATTCAGCAGAAAAGGCCACTCCCTCTCTACTCTACACTGTAGGGTCTACAGTACTGCGCATTAGATGAAACGCCTCAACACCTTCGGCATCAAGTCTGTCAGGTACAGACTCTGCTGAAGAACTTGAGTGGAGAGGTCGGAGACGAGAGGATGTGGTGCCATGCCACATGCATTTTCTCGCTTTGACATGAAGTTGACTTCGGGTGTTGAATTCTTCCAACTCGTTCTTGCCTGCAGTTGTTTCTGGTTGGCGGAGCCTTCGTGCTCCAGTTTTTCCTTTTCGGCAACGTTGGAAGCTCAGCCTGGATGCGCTATCATGCCAGTCCTAGAGTCAAGCTGTTGGACAGCTGCAGTCCCGTGTAGAAGTGACATCAATGCTTACTTAGTGCACCTTGAGGTGCTTTGGCCCTGGCGAAAGAAGGCCAAGGGCAAGGCCCCGGTGCAATGCGGGGCAACCGTCTGTAAAAGCTACAGGAGTGACTGGAGCAGGGACATGTCGAGCGCGCGGATGCAGGCATCGAAAAAGCTCGATCCATCAACTCCAACCAGACAAGAGGTTGATCATATTCTTGAGGCAGAGTTCTTCGACATTTGCTTCATGTCACAGTTGTTTTCAATGTCAGCAGCTTTTCCAGAGATGTGAGGATGTTAAGTGAAAAGCACCAAGTGGCTTGTTGGAAGATGAATGGGCAGATTGCCAGGCCACAACCGCTGCCTTCGAACAAGGAGACCACCGTACAGTCCTTCGGAAGTGGGGCACCTTGCAGAGGGCTGGTGATGCACCTTGGACAAAGACACAGAATTGAACGTGCAAATCCTTCACCCTCCAACCCTGCGCATTTTGTCATGCATCGGCTCAATCCTTGAATGCTCTAGCGTTGTGCCGATGGAGTTAAGCTTTCACTGGGCGTGATCAAAACATACTAGTAGGACATAAATGAGATCCAACAGGGATCAACTAGGGAACATTGCTTCAAACACTTTAACACGTTGGACGACTTCGACTTTGATAGAGTCAGCGGTTTCTGTGTTTCTTTCAACCGGTCTTCTCCTGCGCGTGTTTGGTATCTTCTTGCTAATGCTAGTTTGGAGCTCTGTACGGACACCCACAACAACTTCATTGAATTAGACTTTGAACACAGGTGCCCTGTGTCCCCATGAAACTGTCCATGATCCTCGCGCTCACGACTTGCATGTTTGTTTTTTCGTTTTGTCCACGCACAGGCTGAGAGTGTTCTGCATAAAAGGGGTCCTTTTCCATTTTTTTTGGTACGAGTTTCCATCTATTTGTCAATTCTACTTGCATGGCAGAATCCTGGAGTAGCATCAGGAAGAATTGCTATTTACTTGCAATGCATTTTCCCGAAAGCTGGACATCATGCAGAATCTTCATCAAAAAAGGGACGGAAAAATGACAAGCCAGGAAGCACACAGGAAAGCAACAGGGAAAATAGGAGAACATAGGACAGGAAGTAGATAAAACACAGGACAAGAAATGAGGATACCCACAGGAAATAAACAAGGACCCCGTTTCCCTATTTGTTTTCCTATTCACTACTATATTTCAACTATTTGCGTTGATTTTCCACAAACACTGGAAACCTTACAACATCTTCGAACAAATTAGGAAAGAAATACGGTAAACATTGGACAGAATGGGACACTAGGCAGAGCACATCGTGGAAAACGTTCTTGACAGGTCCAGCCAGTTGTTGTCCCAGTGTTCGTGATGTCTTGGTTGCCGACGGTATGCTTGGCCCAAGCCCCCCCAGGACGTCCTTTTGCAACTTAGCACCGAAAAGGCGCTGGATGCTTCAAGGTTGAGGAAAAGTGCTTGACAGATTTGCGCCTTGTTGGTGGAAGTCCGATTTGCCTTTTGTTGTTCTTGGTTCGTTTTGACCCACCACACAGGTCGTGGTACAGCAGTTTGGCCCGCCTTGTGACCACGGACTTCGCTGCCTCAAGGCATTCTTGGACCGGTGTCACGTGGTGGTGACATGGTCGGTCTCTTTCAGGCCTGTGCTGGCACACGGCATATGGGGCAACCGGAGTTCCTGCAAGATGACCTCAGGTGGAGCGCAAGGAGCACATTGCTACATGGAATGGTGTTGCAGCACTGTGGCTTGATTATGTGGAGCGTGTTGGATTGCAGCACGAGTGCACCGAGCCGAAGAAGCGTTGTTTGTTGAGGGCCGAGTTGGCCATAGCCGGTAAGCAAGCAAAGCGTAGGACGTCACCTTGGCTGAAGGAAGCCGCAAGAAGCTTGAGCAGTCGAATGGGGCCTCCTATTTGCTGTCCTTCTTCGAGGAGCGTTTGCGCAAAAGACCCAGTGCCAGATATGGATGAGCTTTCATGACCAGGTACTTCCATGAGAGAGTCGCGCAGGTGTTCGC